AGACACTACCCGCCTTATCAAAAAAAAAACCTAAAAAAAAAAAAAAAAAAAAAAAAGCGGGGGGAGGGGGGAGTTTTGTTGGGAAGGGTTTAGAAGCAAGGATGGTAGGAAGTTAGAACTACTTTCCCGAAGTTCTTATGGACAAATAGAACAACTAGCGGTTGACAGTCTTATCAGACTAAAACCTTGGGAATTATATTCCCTAAGTATGGACAGTCCTTCAAGATTTTTGAGTAGAAGAATCAAATGATTAATTTTGCAAGGGATATATCAGTAACCAAAAAACTGAATAATAACTTAGTGTAAACTGGAAAACCTACTCAAATTCAATGGCTGAGGTAGGGCCGGCAGCTGGGGTGGTGGTTAAGGTGCTGGATTCCCACATAAACAACCACGATTTGAGTCTCTGACACAGTGGCTTGTAGTGTGTGTGTGTGTGTGTGTGTGTGTGTGTGTGTGTGTGTGTGTGTGTGTAGGTGCACGCCCAAGATCCCAAGAGCAGAATAGAGAAGAGACTGCAGAGTGGCCATTCTCCAGAGGCTTGATCTCTCACTTCCCTCTCTCTGGTGAGCCTACACGCCCTAAGACAAAAAACAAAAAAAAACTTAAAAGAATAAAAAGGTGGAACTGGAAAAGGTGTGGTGGTTAAGATAGTACACACTCTCTCGTGGCTAACTGCAGTTTGAGTCCTGGACCTGGTGGCTTGCTTTCTCACTTTCCCTCTCTCTCTCTCTGTGTCTCAGTTTCTCTTTGATCAAATTAAAATACAATAATAATAAATAAAATTGAAATTCTTTTTAAAAAAGAAAAAGAAAAACAGATGGTGGTAATGATTAAGCTTAGGAAATAGCCTTGTAGGGTCAAAATGGTAAGGAAACCCGAGATGTTGGTAAGGACGGTGTGGAAGACTCGTGATAGTACACAAGCCAGACAGGAAATGTTCAAAAGGAAACTCGTATAATATAAGGAAGAAGCTGGAAATGTTGATCCAACGGAAATCTCCATTTTCAACAAAATGAACAAGGTTAAAACAGCAACATGGTTTATATGTGGGAATATCACAGTGAATGAAGGTCAAATATCCTAGCCCCCTCGGAGCTGCTCTCATGTTTTGGGTAGAAAGAGTAAAATGAACAGTCTTTAAGTTGGTGAAGGAAACTAGTAGAGGTGACACAGATTGTAATCAGAGGGGAACTCCAAGGTCAAGCCATCCCAAGTGCCAAGAGGGCCGATCCAGGGGGTACACCCATGGGTTTGGAACAAGTCCTAATTACCCATGGACAAGGAAAAGGATTGTGTTGCTGAGTTACTAGCTTGGTGTCCAGTGTCCCTCCTTTCTAAAATTTTATTTATTTATTACATTTAATCCCATCTTTACAGTGTACAACATTTCTCGCATCCTTTTTTTTTTTTTTGAGAGGTTTTTGCTATAGGGCGCGTGCGCTCACCAGACAGACAGAGAGAGACACAGAGACAGAGACAGAAAGCGAGAAATCACCCCCCAGGGGTGATGAATTGTACAACATTTCTTTTTCCAGCTCAAATACTATGCATGTTAGTCAAGCCAAAGAGATTACTCTAGAACTTATCAGCAAATAGTTTCTCATTTTTTGTCAATTCAGGATACTTTTACTTTTTTTCTTCCCCTTTCCCTTCTCTCTCTTCCATACTAAACTTTTTTCCCCACATTTTATTGATTCACAAAATACCTTAGACTAAAAATATGGACAAAGCTAGAATCTAGTGACAAGGGCGCTGTAATTTTCTTCAGAAACTTTTTTTCATTAATTAATTTACATTCATTCCCTGAGCATCATCACAGCATACAAAATGTGATTTCCCATCCAGAATATACTGCATAGTGGCTTAATCATACATGTTATCGTCAATAATTTTCTATTTCTAGCTTCATATGTATATATATATATATATATATATTGAAATCACCGCCCAGGGGGGATGGCCACACCGCAATCCCTTCTCCTCCATTCTCCTTTCGGGATCTTGGGCACGCACGCACACACACCCAGCATGAGTTTAAGCCACCAGGTCCGGGACTTGAACCGTGGTCGAGTGCATGGGAGTTCAACGACATAGCCATTATGCTAACTGCTGTTCCCTCCCTTATTTCTCACCCTCTGCCATCTCCCACCCTCCTCCCACACTATCTCAGGTGTCTGTAGCTGTTTTGCATTCCTTCTCACAAAATTCACCAACGTTCTTTCTTTAAATTATGCCCTTTTCCTTTCCCTATGTAGTAGTTTGAGGGTCTAGACAATTTTTATGATCTGAACCACTTCATGTTTTCAGATATGTATTGATATAATAGGTACTGAAAGAAGACATTCATCTAGACCAGCAGGTGGCGTGGAGGCTAAGGTCGCTGGATCCCATATGACTATGGTTCGAGTCCTGGACCTAACAGTTTGAAAATCATGTCAGGTGCATGTGTATGTGCCCAAAATCTCAAGAGGAGAAGGGAGAAGAGATTACAGCATGGCCATTCTCTTGGGGGTTGATCTCTTACTTTCTCTCTTTTTCTCCCCAGCGAGCTCACACCCCTTACGGCAAAAAATATAGGGAAAAATAGAAAGAAAAAGTAAAAAGTTTTGTACAGTTAGGCAGTTCTGGGCTAGGGCCAACCCTCAAGACCCTCATCTACTATGTGACCAATAAAGTTCCCACACAAAGGCAGCACCCCGGTCCTCATCACCCTATACCCACCTATTTGGCATGGATATAGGGGTGATGACAAGGAGAAGTTAAGTCTCTGCTTGTGGGATGGGAGCTTCTGCGGTGGTGGGAGGGCTAGAGTCGCAAGGTTAATGACATGCCTGGGACACTGGTGTGGACACTGAGGTCCTCAAGTGTTCCAGCTGGAGAGGAGATAGAGAAGCAGATCATAAGGTGATTGCTGTAGAGGGTGACAGGAAGATGGAAGGATGTGGAGAAGACGATGACAGGTCCCAGATCTTGACAGCTTGACTGATGGAGATGGCCAGTTTTCCAAAGAAGTCTTGGGAGGACTTCAAAGTCAAAAGCAAGCCCCTGTCTATTCTCCTCTTAACCCAGGGACGACAGGCCATGATGAGAAGGCAGGCAAGTGGCAGGTGACATGCACTGTCCTCTGGGGAAAATATGGCCTCATGAGGATGAAACTGTACGTTTAAGAATAGACTGAAATTCAGTTCGGGGACACGAGGATGTTGCCAGTGGAAGGGAACTATCAAGAAGCAGATGCGAGGAGTTTGGCGTAACGGGGTATTGTAGAGAAGCAGCAGCTTGCAGGCTTTCACCTGAAAGGTTAGGTGAAGCTAAGATGGACTGGCAACGAAAGGCATAGAATAAAAGGAAGACTAGAGGCAAGAGTCTAACCATGGTTGTTACAGTCTGATCAGCAAGAGAGAAGGGGACATCCGGTCATAGTCAAATCACAGGAGTCTGTACTGCAGTCAGCTCCAGGAGGAGTATCTCTCAAAAACCTGGCAGCCCGCCCCTACAAAAGGAAAGGGGTGATTATAAAGGCATAGGGGAAGGAGTGACCTTGCTCAAGCATTTGTACAGAAGCAAAATTAAGCACTGTGACCTGGGGCATTTTTAGGGTTGGGGACTTTCCAGTCTTTAGGCAAACATAAGGAATCTTAATGGTCTTCACAGCTCTGGGCAAGGGGTCTGGGGATTGGGAGTTTCCAGTTATTTGGCGAAGACAATAGAAATGTTAATCACTCTATTTACTCTAGACAGAAGGAGGGAGGAAGTTTTCAATATAGAGAGAAGTTCAAAATGGAGGTGCTCATGTTTCAATGGGGAAAAATAGGCCAGACCTCCATATTTGCACTTACTCCTTCATTCACTTAATGGCTCAAGAAGTAAATATTTATTGCTGTTATGGTTGAATGTGCCCCTCTAAACTCATATGCTCACTCCTCACACCTACTGACAGCCTCAGAGTGGAGATAGGGTCTTTAAAGAAGCAAATAAATTAAAATGAGTTATTAGGATGGACTCTGATCCAATATGGCAGAGCCACCCTCCATCTTCCCTCAGAGAGAGACAAAGAGAGGGAAAGTGAGAAATCACTCCCTAGGAGGGATGGCCATGCCATAATCCCTTCTCCTCCATCCTTCTCTTGGGATTTTGGTCATGCACCCACACAAACCCAGTGTGATTTTCAAGCCACCAGGTCTGAGACTTGAACTGTAGAGTAGGTCATGTGGGATCCAGGTTTTATTCACCACACCACCTACTGGTCCAATGACAGCCCTTTTAATAAGAGGAGACTAGAACACACACACACACACACACACACACACATGGTGACAAAACTATGTGAAGCCACAGAAGATTGCCTTCTACAAGCAAGAAAAGAGGCTTCAAAGGAACCAACTCTACTGACTAGATCTGGGACTTCCAACCTCCAGAAGAGTGAGACAATGAATTTCTGCTGTGTAAGCCCCCCTAAGGCTGTGGTAATTCATTATGGCACCCTCAGTGCACCAATACACGTGCCCACTATGTGTCGGCCACCGTTCTAAATGGAATGTATACCAGAACTGGTAAAATCCTCCTTCATAAGACTCTATATAAAGGAAAATGCTTAGAGTTTTTAAGAGTTCCTCTCCCATTAGTGTCGCCTGCCATGATGCCAGAGCAGCAGCAATCACCCACAACTCTCCAAACATCCAGAAGGCCCTCTGAGAAGGAAGCAGAGGCTGACATGAGGAATGGGGCCCAGTTTGCTCTGAAACTATGATATCATGTCTCCTTCTCCTGACCATTCCATCCCCGCCCCCACAATTACACTCTCCAAAGAAATAGCAAGAGGAATAAACGATAAGAAAGTAGAAACTAGCAAGAAGAAAGTACCATCCATGGGGCCAGCAGGTGGTATGGTAGTTAAGGCACTCAACTCCCACGTGGCTGACCATGGGGAAGAAAGAAAGAAAGAAAGAGAGAAAGAGAGAAAGAGAGAAAGAGAGACAGAGAGAGAGAGAGAGAAAGAAAGAGAGAGAGAGAGAGAGAAAGAGAGAAAGAAAGAAAGAAAGAGAGAGAGAAAGAAAGAAAGAAAAAAAAGAAAGAGAGAAAGAAAAAAGGAAAGAAAGAAGGAAAGGGAGAAAGAAAGACAATAATAATAATAAATAAAAATGAAATGATTCTTACAAAAAACATTTTTGAAAAGGTGTTGCAGCCTCCCAGCTAACTAAGATCACAGCCTGAGTGTGCAAGTTCAGGTCGACCAGGCGTCTGAATCCTGGGTCTGCCATATGGCTTCAGTGTGGTGTAGTGGAACCCTACCAGCTGTAACATGTGGCTAGGCCCAGTATCCTTCTTATATGTCCTACCAGCCACACCATGTGGCTAGGCCCATAATCCTTATATGTGACATCTTCAGGAGATTTTTATTGAAAGGTCTACAAACAAGAATAAGAGGAAGAATTACAGAAGAAGTTGGCAAGTGACCTTAGATGGAAGAGATACAGGAGATGGATGAAGAATGAAGAGCCTGGATAGTTAACATTTGTGGATGACTGAGTTTGATGGGATGCTATTATGCCAAACCTTAACTGAGATATTATTTTCATAACTGAATTATTTTAGAGATATATTAACTGCTTCTCAGCAGTAACTTAAATTCCTCAAATATTTGATTAAGCAGAATAATGTGCAAAAAAAAAAAAAAAAGAAGAAACCACCATCATCATTTGAAACTACTTCCAATGTCTTCCTAAGCTAGACAATGTCAATGAGATGTCATCAAGCCTCTGATTTCTCCGTTTAATTATTAGCAAATTGGTTTAAATACACCAGGGGTTCTCTCTCCATGAGAACCCACAGCTACCTTCATGTAGGTACCAACATGCGCTGTGGCCAAGGCCATAAAAATGAATGCCTCACCGTGGCAACCTCCATGTTTATCTTCCATGTCAATCCACTTTATGGCTCTGAGGTTCCCTGTCCAGGATGCGTTGGGCATAGAGCCAGGTACATCTGCAAAATTGATAAAGAAGAAGAGCAGAGATGAGACCCATGAGAGAAGGGCATCAGTTTCATCAATTAAGCCTCCAAGCCATGCTCATTCTTTCAGGAGATTATCTTTCACATTGCGTGCTGGGCACAAATCCATGCATCTTCTATTTCCTGTGGTTGACCTTTTCACCAAAATTTTAGTTGCTGACTTATTACCTAATTAGGACAATGCTATTCAATTGATATAGGCATCAATATACAAATACAATTCTAATGAACAAATATCTAATCACTAGTTAGAAATCAGTATAAGGGGCCAGCAGATGGCATGGTAGTTAAGGACACTGGACTCCCACATAGCCGACCATGGTTCGCATCCTAGACCTGGAGGCTTTCTTTCTTTCTTTCTTTCTCTCTCTTGCTCTATCCCTTTCTGGTCAAATTAAAATAAATGAATAAATAAATTAAGTTAAATAAAATAATTCTTTTTTTAAAAAACAAAATCAGTATAATAAGGGGGCTGGCAGGTGGCATGGTGGTTGGGGGTGCTGGACTCCCATATGGCTGACCGCGGTTTGAGTCCCGGACCTGAAGGCTTTATGGCTGACCGCGGTTTGAGTCCCAGACCTGACGGCTTGTTTTCTCACTCCCTGCCCCCCTCCCCTTGGCTGTTGCTCTGCCCCTCTCTGGTCAAATTAAACTGAATAAATGAATAAGTAAAATAAAATAAAGAAAAGAAAAGAAAGAAAGTAAAGTTCAATAAAATAATTGAACTTTATTTATTTATTTATTTTAATTTGACCAGAGAGGAACAAAGTAAGAGAGAGAGAGAAGGAAAGTGAGAAGGCAAGCTGCCAGGTTTGGAACTCGAACCACAGTTGTCCATGTGGGAGTCCAGTGCTCTTAACAACCATGCCACCTGCTGGCCCCTCCTCATCCATTCTTTTAGTGGTCTTGAGGAAAACCCTCAGCATGGCCAGCAGAAGGTGCGCTGGTAAAATGCAGTGCTCGGTGACACTGACCCACAGGAGAAGGTGTCCAGGTTTGCACGTGCCCATGATCTGGGGCTGGCTGCAACTGGGGTGAACTGCCATGTTGAGACCATATTGGGGGTTGTGGGGGACAATCTCTCTGACTCATGAAAGAAATAGTTAAAAAAAAAAAAGTCTTGGGCCAACAGGTGGCAGAGTGGTTAAGCCACTGGATTCCCACATGGCCTACCACAGATCTGTCAGCTAAAAAATCACGCCATGTGCATTTAGGCCCAAAATTTCAGAAGGAGAATGGAGGAGAAGGGATTGTAGTGTGCCCATATCCTCAGAGATGATGCCTCGCTTTCCCTCTTCTCTCCAGCCAGTGAACACACCCTATGCAAAAACCTAAAAAATTATAAATTAATAAAAATAAAAAAGCTAATTCTTACAGGCTGGTCCTGGTGGTTAAACTGGCTGGATCAAACATGGCTGAGCACATGGCTGACTCCCTAACCCATTGGCTTGAAAAACACACCAGGCATATATGTAAGTATGCTCAAAAATCCCCAAAGGAGAAATGAAAGAGAAGGGATTACAGTATGGCCATTCTTCATGGAGAGTGCTTTCTTTGTCTCTCTGGTGAGCTCTGGCAAATTTAAAAAGTCTTTTAAAAAATTAAAGAACACTCAACAAGACTTCTAATGAGTGCTTGGTCTGAATCCTTTGTGGGCATCATTTGCTCACTACTTTAAGGAGTTTTAGTGAATACCCCTATTACGTAATGTGCCCACTATGCAATAAATAATATTAAATAAAAAATATATTTAAAAAATATACATGGAGCGGGACCAGCAGTTGGCGTAATGGCTATGTCGCTGGACTCCCACGTAGTCGACCATGATTCAAGTCCTGGATCCGGTGGCTTAAACTCACGCCGGGCTCGTGTGTGTGCGTGCCCAAGATCTCACCAAGAGGAGAATGGAGAAGGGATTATGGAGTGGCCATCCCTCCTGGGGGGTGATTTCTCGTTTTCTGTCTCTCTGGCAAGCATACATGCCCTATAGCAAAAACAAACAAAACAAAACAAAACATGGAGAGCCCAGAGCTGCCAAGTCTATCTTTCGTACTATTGTTTAGTTACTCCTTTTCAGTACGAGCTTTTACTGATACTCTGTTTTTTCTCCAGAGATTGACCTCAGGCCTCACCTCCTGATGGGATGGATGTTGGCCAAAACTTTGTTCTCATTCTAGCTTTACCATTAACCAGCTGGGTGTCCTTGGGCATCATTTAACATCTCCAAGACTCACCTCTCAAAGGAAGTGAGTAGATTAGATCAGTGTTTTGTTTTTGTTTTTTTTTTTTAACCATTGAGACTGTAACTCACAGAAAGAAAAAAAACATTAAGTCATGCACACAGAGGCATATACACCACAAACAAAAGTTTCAGAAAACCATACTTAGGCTTACTACATGCAAGGTATTTATTTTATGTTGTTTTCTAATCTAGTTTCATCTTAAAATTCTGGTCAAAAATTATCATAGTGATTTCTCTATGTTATAATGGGATACAACTACTATTTGGAAAACGTCAGATTGGGATTTATTATTTCTATTATTAAACTATTAATGTTTATCAGGATTCTAGGTAGTTACCGTGTAGATGGTATTAATTCTACCTTCGATTCACAAGTACCCTGGGAAGAGCCTATTTTTCATTATTTTTAGGAGGTGCCAATATTATCAGAGAAAACACTCTGAACTATAAAATCCATTTCTCTCGTTTGCTCTTCATAGGCTTATGTAAACAAAACATTTGAGAAAAGGTTTACAGAGTAAAGAGGAATGTTTTTCTTGGGAGTCAGCCTCTCTTAGTCAAATAACCACATTTGTTAGATACATGAATATGATTCAATGAAATGCAATATTATATTGACTTGACTTTCTCATCATTGTTCTTACACAGTTTGGTCCACACGCTGGGAGATTTCTGTGAGATAACAAGTTCCAAGAATTGTTTATTATTTAAGCTCATATATATATATATGAGCTTATACTTTTCATTTATTAAATAAACAAAAAATTTTTTTAAAATTTTGCTATAGGGCACAGGCAGTCACCAGAGAGGGGTGGGGGACAGTGAAAAATCACCTTGAGGGAGGATGCTCACACCACAGTCCCTTCTCCTCCATTCTCCTCTTGGGATTTTGGATACGCAAGCACACATATTTGGCATGATTTTTCAAACTACCAGGTCCAGTACTGAAACTGCACAGTTGGCCATGTGGGATTTTAATCTCCCCACTACCTACTGGCCCACAAAGAATTTTTTTCTTTTTCTTTTTTAGAGGTTTTTGCCATAAGGTACATGCACTTGTTGGAAAGAGAGAGGGAAAGTGAGAAAGCACCCCCCTATCCACTATCCACCCAGGGGAGGGGGGGCATTGCCACACAGCAATCCCTTCTCCTTCATTCTTCACCTGGGATCTTGCACACGCCTGGCATGATTTTTCAAGCTCCGACCCAGGACTCGAACTGCAGTCAACCATGTGGGAGTCCAGTGAGGTAACGACTACACCATCCACTGGCCCCCAACAAGCAATTTTTTAAAATTCATTTCTTCCATAAGCAAGAAATAAAGACAGAGGCAGAGAGACAAGATTGCAATTTACCCCTAGCCTCAGTCAGCCAGCTCATGGCCTGGTAGTTAGGGAGACTTGATCCCATAAGTCTTACAACATGGTTCGAGTCCTGATCCCAGAAACTTGAAAAACACACCACATGCATGTGTGTGCATGCTCAAAATCCTGAAATGAGGGAGAGATGGAGTAGAAGAGGCTTTGGCATGGCCATTTCACATTAGGGGAGCATTCTTGCTTTCTCTCTCTCTGGTGAGTGCAAGCACCTTCTAACAAATTTAAAAAAAAAAAGGGAAAGAAAGAAAAGACATGGTATACTAGTTTTTTGTTAGTTTTTCATGAACTATGCATGTGTTGCACTTAGCAATACTGGGGAAATTCAATAAGTGGAATAAATGAAGATATAATCCCTCCATTAAAATCAAGGGCATGATACATTTGTGGAAGAGACTGCTTTTTTTTAAAGAGAGATTTTTGCTATAGGGTGTGTGTACTTGCTGGAGAGACACAGAGAGACAGAAAATGAGAAATCACTCCAGGGGGATGGCCGCACTGCAATCCCTTCTCCTTCATTCTCCTCTCAAGATTTTGGGCACACATGCACATGCACCCGGTGTGAGAGTGAAACCGCCAGGTCTCGGACTTGAACCATAGTCCACTACATGGGTCCAGAAACATAGCCATTTTGCTATGTGCTGGTTCCAGAAGAGACTCCTTTTTTTACAGTCATCCAAAGTGATGTTTTATTTTTAAAAAAAAAATAATTATTTTGACTTTTTAAAATTTATTAATTTTTAATTTGACCAGAGAGGGACAGAGCAAGAGAGAGAGAGAAAGCAAGCCACCAGGCCCAGAATTCCAATCGTGGTTGGCCATGTGGGAAACCTGCATCTTTAAATATCAAAACACCTGCTGGCCCTAAGATCTTCTAATTCTAATTCTAATTCTAATTCTAATACTGTCAAGTATTAATTCTAATACTGTCAAGCTATGAAGCTATATAAACTAGAACCTACAAAAATCTAAATGAGTTACCTAGGGGTATGGACTTACTAAAGAGCTCTTGATTTTTGTTTCCAGATAACTATTCACTTCCTCTAATGGTTTCACGCATGCCCTCTACATTCTATAGTAGACGCTGAAAGTAAAGTCATGAACCGGGTATTCTTGGACCTTCCAGCCTAGCCTATTCAGGAGGATTTGTATTTGCCAGTATTTCTAGTAGCAGCCCAAACACCTTCACTTAAGATTCTTTCCTGGATGGGACCAGAAGTTAATGTAATGGCTATGTCACTGGACTCCCATGTAGCTGACCGCGGTTCGTGTCCCGGACCCGATAACTTGAAACTCACGCCAGGTATGTGTGCGTGCGTGCCCAAGATCCCAGGAGGAGAATGGAGGAGAGGGGAT